GCAAGAGGGCATCGTTTGACAAGGCAGAAGTCATAAGGGCCATGGCATCTGGCATCTATCGTCAGTTTCATGGGTCAATACAGTAGGTCTATCTATAAGTCCATCTATTAGTCTGGGAGGGGTTTATTCATGTCTTATTCCCAGGGTCCCTGAGAAGAGGGGTTCAAGTCAAAGTTGCATCTCTGCCCCATGACATTTTACTTCTTGGGAGGTTGCTAGAGCTGTTAGACCCTACTAGAATGGAGTGGAGAAACCATTGCCTTTGTGACTCTGGCAAGCAGTTTGCACACCTCTTCTTCTTTGGTTTTTTCTCTTCTGAGTCCTCCGATTCCTCAGTCGCACCGAAGCCGAAAACGCTTTCATACATGCAGTACCTGCCCCTGGTACCTGGTCGTCCGCACAGTACTTTTCTCATGTGTCACAGTCCGACGCTGGGCAAGAGTAGATAGGCGCGGAGGAGGGATCGGAAGGGGAGGAGAAAATGGTACAGCACCCTGGCTGGGTCGGCTGGGTATTCTTTTTGAATCAACATAAATATGTTGAGTCATTATCCGCCGACCCCTTGCGACTGCAAGGGGAGCGCGTGAGAGAAGGTACGAGTGCTCAGGGTGTGGAGGGTTCGAGCATGGTCTGCTGTGTGGGGGCGCACGGAGCGGCCCCGGAGATGGCGCCCCAGATACTGGCCGATGTCTGGGAGCTTTGGAGGGAGGGGACGAGTCTCGAAACTTGCCAGAAGGGGCTTGCTCGAGGCTGCTCCAAAATGTTTTTTTACGGGATCCGAAAGCGACGTTAGACATCTGGGCCCTTCAAACCCCTCAAACCTCGAGGCTGCTTCAAAATGTGTTTTTGTTTTTTTTACGGGATCCAAAAGCGACGTTAGACATCGGGGCCTGCCCTTCAAACCCCTCAAACCCCTCAAATCCCCCAAAAGTCTCGAAACTTGCCAGAAGGGGCTTGCTCGAGGCTGCTTCAAAATGTGTTTTTTACGGGATCCAAGAGCGACGTTAGACATCGGGGCCTGCCCTTCAAACCCCTCAAACCCCTCAATTCCCTCAAACCCCTCGAAACTTGCCAGAAGGGGCTTGCTCGAGGCTGCTCCAAAATGTTTTTTTACAGGATCCGAAAGCGACGTGAGACATCAGGGCCTGCCCGTCAAACCCCGCAAACCCCTCAAATCCCTCA